CAGAGTATTGAGATTTTCTTTCATAAGTAAAACCAGCCTTTCGAGCTTGTGTTTAGTATTCAAGATGTTAGAACTGCATGAAATTAATAAAAATTGTTTAAAATTAATGTCTAGCCGCCAAAATGTAAGAAAACATATACAAAATCATACATTTTTCACAATTTTCTAACACTTCGCTACACCATCGAAAGCAAAATTCTGTTCGACAGAAAATTCGATACTCAACGAAAATTTCGACACGCTTGCATAGCTCATAATACGAATTCCACTTTCGATCTTCGATAGCCAGCGAAGATCGAAAATCGAATGCAGCTCATAATAAGGGCCTTTATTTTGCTTTTTTGTCGGCAGTTTATTGAAAACAATTTAGTAAATTGAATTTACTGCTTTTGATTTGCTGTGATAGCACTTTTGTTGTGCTGTGATTTGCTTGAATGTCCTGTGCACATGAAGCTTTGCAGCATGGTGTATTATCGCTGACTCGCCAGGAGTGAGTACACACAAAATTTGCAGTATCAATTCCTTTGCCTTGACCATTCGCTAGCGATTATCTGGTGTGAAATTGGCGATTACCAATCGCTAGCGAATTGCCTAACAATCGGTAATGCATCGTCGTAGTTAGCTTATGGTCGCCTCTTGTCACCAGTACAACTAAAGGGTAATGCATTTGTGCATGCATACATATTTCTGCCAATTTGATGTTTCACGGTCAAGTGATAGTCGAATTGCTGTTGCTTTGCTGCCGCTGCGCTGTCGTTGTGCTTTCACATATTGTTTTTTTAATGTCTGGTTGCTTTCGAAATTTTACAGCAAAACGACAGCCAAAGCATTTGCTTTATCCGAATTGCTGTTGCTTTGCTATCGATATCATGCCGAAGTCAAAGCACAGCAAAAGTAAATCAAATGAAAAAATTACAGCATTTTGAAACCCTGCTTTTTTCAATAAGCCAATTCTTTATTCATTGACGTATCCGATGAACAGATGCCTTTTATTTATTATTTTCACTAACGTACATTTTTAGGTGATGAATGAAGTTTTTGAAAAGCCTCTAACTGAACCAGAACCTCTCCCTGACTGTAAATATATCGATGTACATGCACCTAAAAAACGTGTTAGCCGTTTCAAAAAAAGTCGAGAAATAACTGAAACTGCTTAACAGTTTCTTTAAGTAATAAATAAGTTCAATTACAGGAAAATATATTATAAGTATTATAAAACAAATACATCTTCCACAAGAATTGTAATTGGGTTCGCCTTACTGTTTATTAATTTAAAATTGCTTTCAAGTTAGTTTTCAACAGTTTATGCCTGCAATTATATACTTATATAAATGTGTGCACACGTATTCATAATTTAAAAGCTTTATAAGCGTACTTACTATATGGGTGAAAACAGAATAAAGTTAAAATTTACTCAGAATTCAAGTGAAAAAGTTCAAATAAATTACCCTTAATATTTTCTAAATTCAAACAATACAAGCTAATCATCAAGTCCAAGAAATTCTCGTTCCAGCGCAGCACCCATCATATTCCATTCGCCATCATCCCCACTGTCTTCATTGCCAGGACTGCCATCATCCGAATCGCTGCCCATTTCCAAGTCTGATGGCAATTTCTCACCTATAACCAAACATTTATAGATTTCATTTAATACCGGATAATGATTACCTCGCCGAAATTTTGCGCTTGGTGACTCATCGTCGTCGTCATTGTCTTCGCCATCTGAACTCTTATCAGCGTCCTCATTTGTTCCGGGACCCATAATAATATC